AAAGGAGATACAACAAAGGACCAAGTACAGAACCTTGAGGTACGCCACAATCAAGTTGAAGGGCTTCAGAAGAAAAATCATCAATGGAAACAAATTGAAAGCGATCAGTGAGGTAGGACTTAAACCATTGAAGAGCTATGCCAGAAATGCCAAATTTTGTATGGAGACGATCTATATGTTGATCAATGTAATGTTGTTAAAGCGTTCTTTATTATGCGTATATATAAAGACCTAAACCCTCTGATTATGGGTCGATCTTGAAAGGTTCCCTTTCACTTTAAAACGAAGTAATAATACTTAAAAAGCCAAAATTAACTTAACGAAATAGTCCTTAAAAACAAATTCAAACCATTTTAGTGTCTTTCCTTTGCTAATAAACGTGTTTATAAATTATCACGCAACAGGGGAGATGAGATGCGTGATTTTGTTAACATCGATCTTACCACCAAATTTTGTATACGTGGGAAAAAAAATTGCAGTCAAGTTGAAGTTGACTCAGATACTATCTTTTATTTAAGAAAGTGTGATGAAATTCTGCGTGATCATTTCGTGAGGTTACGTTACATCCTTATATAGGCCATGAAATGATCTCAAAAGCAAAGAAATGAGGTTAGAAAGATCAAAGGACGACAACACGTATACCACAGTTGCGGCGTGAAAAGTGGCATGAGCGAACACCTTGAAAAATCCTGACGAATTTTTAACGTTTCTTTAAAGATCAAAAGAAAAGAATCCACATTTCGTGTCTTTCTGGTTCAAATATAAGTTCAAACTTGCACATGTTTAGTAATTGTCATGTCTTGGATATTTACAGAATATGGCTTGATGCCAATATTTAAGTTTTCATGGCTTTTGCAAACATTGCAGAATTTGTGTAGTACCTTTGAGGGAGATCAAACTCGCTTTCACCCCAAATAAATGACTGCATTAGCAAAACCAGGAAATGAATGAGAAGGAAAGAAAATAATTTAATAAATTTGCGATATATTTTTGATTTCTGTAGTTGAAGTGGATTTTTTTCGTGAAATGACTTGGAAAAGATCCATTATTGCTGTGGCTGCCTGCCCGATATGACGGATAAACCCGGACAATGATATCAGACAAAAGACTATTGTGAGGTTTGAATTGTTTTTAAGACTTGCTCAGACTTGCTTACCTAATAAATAATACTAAAGATATCATTAACAAAATCAAAAGTTTGATAATGAATATTTTTTGCTTACGATCCAAGTTTTTTAATGAGCATTAAAGAGACCTCATGCAATTCATGAACTTCAATTTCCTAAATCCTTTTCTTTTCTTTTTCTCTCCTGATTTTCAACAAAACAAACCCAAAACCCTGCAAAGGGTCTAAGGAAGCTGCAAAACCACAAAATCTATTGTTTCTGCATTGATACATGTGCAGTAAAGAAGCTATTTTTAAGTATGACTAACGTTTTGATGTCACTTGCAAAAACAAAGTTCCGACAAAAGGAAAAAAAATCCCATATCAAAAATATAAACTTAATGTTTTCAAATCAACCTAATATCACGGTAATCTTGCCTTTTGTTCTTTTGAAGGACTGGAAATGGAAGACGTGAGTTCTAAAAAAAACTTTTTTATTGCAAAAGCTCCAGTAGGACTGAAGATAAGTAAGTGAGGTATATTCTAATAAAGGCTATTGTCGTAATATTCCATAGGCGTAAAACTTCTATTTTTGATAATGATTTACTAACATCTTTTAATCTTTTCGCTATTAGATCCAGGGATGTTTTGTGTAATATCCCACTGCTACAATAAGTGTAGTTTTTTTCGCTCAAAGGCAAGTACTTGAAAGTCGGTAGTGACAAGACCGTTCGCAAAAGTTTGATTGATCTTTTTTCGCGGTATTAGGAAACGATAAACCACCTTCTTTAAATTGTAAAAACATATAATAAACACATAAAAATAGGCAAAATAAGGTAGTGAAGTTTCTAATAATCCCAACAAAATACCCCCAAGCTACTTAAGTCATCATAAAGTGAGTCGATAAGGTGCAGAATATAAACAAGTTTATTGTGTTACTTCATATTTCTTATGAGTAATTAATGACATGTTTTTTTCACTACTTTGCTTAAAAACGGTTATTTTTGGCACATTAACTGTTTTTCCTGACATCTTATGGATTTACCAGTTCGTTTGTTTGTTTGTTTTTTCTCGTTAATTAAGCTACAGTTGTAATTTTTCTAGAAATTTCTTGAAAAAGACAGACAGACAGACAGACAGGCAGAGTGACAGAGAGAGCAGAGATCGAAAGGCAACCAACTGGTAGTATTAGGGTAACAAGGTTGCATAACCAAGCGAGCGCAAGTAATTCCGCTTCGACTCTATTTTAACCATTACCGCCCACGGACAAGGCATTCGGCAATAGTTAATCCACTAAAAACTATTAAATAAGAAATAATTGCAGATAATTTTCGGAAATATAAATGGGGAGGTGAAGAGAAGGTCTTAATTTGAAATTATTGCTAGAACTTACTAGATTGTTCTTCACTAGATTGTTTTTTCCTTAAATGAATGCGTGATTCTTTCTAGATCTCAGTTGAAACTATTTCATTTTCACGAAAAAAAATCTCTGAGAGAGTAAAAGCTAGGAGATAAAAAAAAAAAAGACTTAACTCGAAGCCTTAAGGGTAAGTGGGAAAATGTTTGAAACGCTTTCAAATCTTGCTCAAACAATGGAAAGATGTGAAAATTGCGAGACAATAAATAACATGTGATGTAACGAGGTAAAAGCGAAAGGTGAAAACTGCCAATTGTTTTACAAATTTGTTAAAACAAGAATAGAACAACAGCTTAACAATGAAAATTTTTTTGGAGCATAAAACATGGTCGAAGTATCAGTTGGTATGCGTGGGCGTATGTATTTTCGCACTGTTAAGTTTAATGGCATAACGCTGTAAGAAGAAATTAACGACACACTACCGCTTTCAAACCTGGAAATTTTGACCTATATTTATTCAATTTCGAAACCGCTGTTCCTCACAGACTAATTATCAAAGCGATATACAGTAATTACGAGAAATATTATACGCCTTTCTTTCTTTATGCATCACGAAGTTTAAAACCCGTATGAATAGAAACACCAGCATCTAATGGAAACCCCAAGGAAAATAGACTAATGTTTCTATCAATATTACATGTGCAGGGGTAGAGAGACGTGACTGTGTCTTAGATTAAATTTATTATAGTAAAATGAAATATTTCGTCTAGAATCTGGTGATAAGGGACTACACAGCGGGAGATGTTGGAGTACTCCGGAAATCTCTTCTCAGTTTTGTTTTCTATTTTATTTCTATTTTATTTTCGTAGTTAACACTGTTGGACTAGAAAATGAGTTCCTTCATTCGTTGTATCTCCCATCTGTGTCCTTTGAAATTAAACTACCTAGAGCTATATATCTTTGTTTGAATAGTTAGCTGTGGAAAACTATTTTTTAAACACGACTGGGAGTACAGAATTTTAGACGATTTGACACCTAAGTCCATTTGGTAATCTATATTCTAGCTTGCAAACATATAGTTGCTTTAGGGAATGAATAGTATAAGCTCTGCTGCTTATGATTAGATATTTTCCCTAAGTATCAGGTGATCCGACTACAGACAGGTGACCAGCACGTCCGACCTTTTACAACTCTCATTCGAAATTAAGATTTACTTACAAATTTCAAGCTGTTTTTAGTAGAGCTTTTTCCTTATTAGAAAGTAAAATAGGCCATTGTTTTTTTTTGGAAGAATTAATTGGAAGGGAGGGAACGGAATGAAGTGAACTGATAGCGAATCAGAATTCTCTATACGTAGCCTTGGCAACGAATGACTTGGTATCCGTTTCAGTGGGATTTTTATTGAAAAAAACGTTTGAAAACCACATCAAAAATTTCCGGGGAAAGTTTCAAATCTAAAGAATATAGTTAACGAACAATCTCGTGTAGCATTATGTAGTTTTTTCTTCCTTATGTGTATGCTTTTAAGCTTAGTGTCAAAAAGAAAAAGACAGTTTATCGGAAATGAAATGATTTTTTTTCACATTCACAGAGGAAGTATGGATTGAAACTTAAACGTTATTTTTTTATCTTATTGAAATTATAGAAGAAATAATTGCAGATTTAATTGAATTTTTCCTCGTTTCATCGAATAATTTTATTATTTGTCTAGTGTCCCGTATCCATGAATAAGTAAATACTTTATTTTCAATAGGAAAACACGAAACTGTGCCCCGGCTCGTAGTCCAACAAAAATGACATATTTCTCTGCCTTATGCAGTAGCATAGAGACTACACCAAGATTTTTTCTTGATTTTGAAGATTCTAGCTAATATAAATGACGAGTTTTCGTTTCGTGCAGTGAAACCAATTTTGACACCTAAGAAGAAGAACTTCACACCTAGCAAAAGTTTTGAAAAATATTGTAAAGTGTCGCTGGAACACGTCAAGAAAGCACGCAGATTCATCCACGATATTTATCGTGATAGTTTGTTTGACATTGCTAGGAACAATATTAGATAATCCGTGAGTTCTTTCGCCTCTTGGGAAACGACTCATATACATCTTTCTATGGGTCGGTCCCAAAAACGAAAGGGCCGCTAAAATTCTTGCTAAAATTGAGAGGAGAAGATTGTTTTTGTTACGAAAAGATTCAACAGAGGAACTTCAAATTTCTATAAGTTTTTGCAACGGCCATCCGTGGCACAAGGAGATTTAAAATATGCTCTTGAAAGCACAAAAAAAAAAAAAAAAAAAAAAAAAAAAGAAAAAAAAAAAAAAAAAAAAAAAAAAAAAAAAATCCAAGCAATGGGGGGAAAATCCCATTCCTATTATTCAAAGTGTATCTTTTCAGTGCAAATTGAATAACAATGATCCCAGTTCAAATTCTTATTCTCAAGACATCGTTTTTCGAATCTTTTTGACTTCCAACACGAGCTGCCCAGCAGAATGTAGATCTAATCCAATCAATTTTGATTGGCGTATCCATTAGCAACTGCGGTTTCGTGTATCCAGGTTTGCACAGCCGATAACCGCGAAGAATGAAGGGAAGACAAATATTCAAAGTCTAAAATCCATAATAAAAAAAAGGTTTTGAACATGTAATATGAGCAATTTACAGAGATAGATAAGTAAGTGCATTAAGTTGAATTTCCTGTAGCGGGAATAACTTAAACTGAAATTCTCAGTTTTAAAAGATGTTCAATGATCTTTATTGTTAACCTCAAATGTAAAGGTTCTTAATGTTTTTTGGTCACATTTTTTTACAAATAAAAAGGAAGTCATTAGTCTATGCTTTTCTCGGCCAGTACGTGCTTATAGATGATTACTTCATACCAGTTTTTTTCGCTATAAATGGCTTGTTTTTTACTCGGACTTTCAAAACGTCCAATCTCAAGTAATTGATGATACGCACAGATCACCTCCCTTTTCTCTCGAGATGCTTCAATCGTCTACAATTCCCTCACGTCTTGGTATCCTTATCATAATAAGGCAGTTCAGACTGCTATAACTATTGTCTCCATTCATAACCTTTTAACTCCTTTGACTACTAAACTAAAAAAAAAAAAAACTCCGAAGATTCAATACGATTGTTGTCATAATGCATACGGCTCAATGCATATGTTTATTACAGGGGCTTAGCAAATATTTGGTTTAGGGTCCCTAGATTTGAGAAGCTACGTGCTGGATGGTATTGGAAAGTCGTGTAATGCTGCACGCATAGAGCTACTACAGTCATGATAGTAATACCATGCAGCGTTGTATTGGCTCCTTAAAATAAAGACAATGCACTACAAAGCGCTAAAAGGTATTTTTCTATGATACATGAGCCAAAGTCCCAGTTGATTTGAACTAAATTCTGGTTGAGTAAATATGTCAGGATGTGGACGTGATGTTATCAGGGCAGTTGCGCGTTTGCTCGACATCCGTTCGCGTTACGCCAAAAGCTCCCTAGGGAGGGTGGGGTGCGAACCTAATATTGAGGTGTACGTGCAGGTCACTATCAAGGTAAATACATATTTTTTTAAAACATTGTTTTTTTTGTTTGTTTGTTTTTTTTGTGCTAGAGTCATTTTTTTCGATGGGAGGGTAGAGTGCGTAGGCAAAGACTTTCAGACTCAAGTTTTCTTGCATGAATTATACACAAATAAACAAGAATTGGACTACCTCTTCTACAGTATTGTCATGCTACTTCCCTTGGTTGGGTAACGGTCAATATCTAACCACTATTTCACAACATAATATCGCAAATTTCCGTCAACAAACTGGGCCAGGTTTGTGACCTTTTGTCACTGACGCATTAATTAATTTCATAAATGATCATCCGGGTTTGTCTGTTGACGTATGACTGCCTCTTGATAGTGAGAAGATCTYGTTGGAGTGTGCAAAATGTAGCGTAGACTGCGTAGCCTCGTAGTAGCGCTACGCAAGCTAAATTTACCATTATTATAGTAATGTGAATGAATGACATGTCTGCATATGAGTGTATTTCTTGACTAGCTCATAGTAAAAGTCATTTAAAAGTCGTTCTCGCAAACATATTATCTTTTTAAAAACAGTAACTGCGTTTCGTGCTATTACGGGTCAATGCCTTTCCTAGACCCATCTCTTAATATCAATGCAAATAATTCAAACAGAAAAGAACAATTGAGACTCCATTATCGAACGGAAAGGAAATCGAGTCAGGAAAAACAGTGCGACATAACGGCTGGTGCAACGCTCGGCCCTGACTCTGGGATTCTCAAATCAAAGGTCGGTTGCCTTAGCAGCCAAAAACCAGCAAAGGCAATATATAAAGTCCAAATGTAAACAAAGTGAGCAACGATGCCCAATATTAATGACGCTAAATATTCCGACTGACGTACAGGAAAAGAATTACAGAATTTTAAGAACAATTCTTCTTTTTCGATTATTCTTCAACTTTTAGTGGTACAAGTCTAGAGACTTCTGTACTATAACGTTGTTGCATGGCATGTGTCAGCCATTAGGTGGATCCTTAATCCTCTTCATGTCCACTCGACCATTTGGTTTACACGTGCATTAATCATAATATGACCCTCATGATCATTACATGATCACATAATATAAACACTAACGACATCTAGCAAAAAAATACACACACCTGTACGAGAAACTATGACTAATCGAGATGGAAATTCTCGATCTAAAAAACAAGTACCTTTCTGCGTCAACGTAGGTTTAACTACAAGTAAAATGGTGCAAATAGATATGTAATAGATCCATTGTATATTGTTTTTTATCGTACGGATGCACGGTTGGCTGAATAAATCCACGGTTTGCAGTTTCGATCAAAGAGCATTATTTTTTTTATCAAGAGCACATGAATCGAAGGTTTGATCAACATTGATTCATGAAAACTATTAGTCACGATCTAATCCACGTCATATACTACACGTGGAGATAAATAGCCGTTTCGTTATTATAACATTACTCATCAAAACACTACACTTGGCGTAATGACAATCATGTGATGCGCCGTCGCTCTACTTCCAAGTCACGCTCGGTCACGCGTGCAATGACTCACACAAGCTTGTCACGTTGCTACGGTTAGGTTTCACGGCGTCTTTCAAATTTTTTTAAATTCAAATTTTAGACTTTAAGAAGTTGAATTTCAGTTGACAGAAGAAGTTAAGCCGAAATTTCATTTTCGTCCAACCAGGTCATCCAGTATCCAGAGAGCCGACGCCTAATCCAAATACTTATTCCAGAGCTCGATTCCTGATTTTCCGTCAAATTTTATTCAAAAAAATTATCACAAAAAAGTATTTTATTTGCTCATTACAAAAATCTTGTAACTCTTTATTCTAATATAATAACTTAGGGGAATTTTTTTTCTGGTAAAAAATCTATAAAAAATTATAACAATTTCAACCAAAAATTGTCCACTTCTGGGCTTCCTGTGTTGGAACACGACACAGGTACCCCGTAACTGTATAAAATGTTATTGCGTGAATGCGATTATTCCAGCCTTTTTTTTTTTTCGTAGGTTATATGACATACAAGAATGCCTGCTTAAATCTACTTTACATCCCTTTCAGGATTGAGTGATTACACTCTCCCCTCTATTCCTAGGTTCCCTCTGTCCCCAGATGCTCTGGGGCTCAGCTCTAAGTATGGGGTTTCTCATATTTAGTTAATTTGTTCTTATTAGGTCATTAGAGAACTTTAGTTAAATCATCGCTCATTTCTCTTTCATTAACGAAGTACGTATTATCTCCCAGCTGTCGGTACCCGACATGGCTTTTGAAGCATTTCCCATGATGCTTCACCATGGTGGCTAGACCAATGACTGCAACGATGATGACGAGGGTACCTAATGCTACCATGGTAACGCTCAGTTTGGATGCTGAAGATTGTTTTTTACTGGTTTCAGCAGGTGATCGTTCCTGTTAAAGTGAATCACTGGTTGAAATTGACCATCCTTTTTTATTTCCTACGCATGCGTTTTTTATCTGTTTTGTCTATCTAGATTATTGTGTGAGGATATATTTCATACTTCTAGCTATAGTAGTGATTGTTATTGCATGCTAGTTTTTAGTGTGACACCTGTCATCTTCAATCATCATTTTCAACATGAAAATGACGATGAATGGTAATTTCCCATTAATGATGTTGATCATCATCATGATTAACATCATCACACTCAATATCATCTAAATACACCCTAAGTATCACATCATGCTTAGCAGAATTTGTAGCAGGGAAGGTCGATGCTAATGAAGTAATTTTCAAAGGGAATGATGATCATCAATGATTGCCTAATCATCATCATCATTGTTACCCAGGTTATCTTAGGGAATGATACATGTAGTTGATACAGTAGTATTGTCTCCCCGATTAGTAGGGCACTTGTGCCCGGCTAGAAGATATAGAGACATTAATAAATGTGACAGAGTCAAAAGACACTATTTTGGACAGTAATTATTTAGTCATAAATCTATATTTTTAATTAGGAATGCCTCGTGTACACATAGGAATGTAATTCTTTAGTTAACTGTTTGCGTGGAAAATGCGTAAGCAAGAAATAATTTCCGTACGTAATTACA